ATTTGATTGATTCTTTTCTATTAAATTTTCTTAGTCATTTCCCCTATTTTTGTTTGATTCATTTTATTTAGACATTTTAAATAAGACTTGTTTATTTATTTAGGATTTAATCAGCTCCTCTTTGGTTTGACTGGGATGACTGGTCGAGTCCCCGCTTGCCTGATAGTAATCAGAGTAATGAACTCTGCAGGTATCTGATAACCGTAAGAACCAGTGCAGCCGCATGCAGGTGTTTGCTTTTTCTCCACACCCCCCCCCCCCCCCAAACACAGTTCTGCTCATAATCTGAGTTTTTACCTGCTATTTTCTCTCTTAAAGTCAAACTGGAGCTCATTTTAGACCAGGAAATGGGATCAGTAACTCTAAAAATCACCTATAATGATGAGTTATGTCTTTATATTTAAAGAAATTCTACTTTTCTGATTCAGGACAAATGCCTCTAATGTAAATATAGTATTTAGGTTAAAGTATTGTTCCTCGTTTTGCATTGAATCCCCTTCTTTTGAAGCCCAAAGTCTTTACACTCGGCTCGTTTTTCCTCCTCTTTGCTGCATTGTTCTATTCTCCCAAACAGATGTGGACCACAGGGGTCAGATGTTGGCTAAAGATTAGGAAACACGAGCCCCGAAATGACCGAGAAGAACAAAAAATAGATACAAGAATAAAGAAATAGATGCAAGAATAAAGAAATAGATGCAAGAATAAAGAAATAAATACAAGAATAAAAAATAGATACAAGAATAAAGAAACAGATACAAGAATAAAGAAATAGATACAAGATTAAAAAGATAGATACAAGAATAAAAAGATAGATACAAGAATAAAAAAATAGAGACAAGAATAAAAAAATAGACACAAGAATAAAGAAATAGATACAAAAATAAAAAATAGATACAAAAATAAAGAAATAGATACAAAAATAAAAAAATAGATACAATAAAGAAATAGATACAATATTAAAAAAAATAGATACGAGAATAAAGAAAGAAGAAGAATATGAGTGAGAGTGACTTTAAAAAAGGGGTTTTAGAGGCAGAATGAGTGGAAATGCCAGCAG